CGGCGCGTTGATGACATCGCGGTTATAGCACCGCGGTTTTGTCGGCGCGCTTTTGTCATGCGCGCATTTGTCGGGTCACGCTATGAAAGGTGGGGAGGAGGGAAGAGGGGGGAAAACCTCCCCAAAATAGACAACTGGAGGATTAAGGGCCGAAATTAGGGAGATCGGAGAAAGCAGGACAGAGAGGAATCCAGTAGAAAGGTATCACACGTTGGGGAAATAACTTTGGGAGATCGGAGGAGGCAAGACAGAGGGGAATCCAGGAGAAAACTCCTGAGCTTGCCTCTGCTGTCTGGTGGATTGTGCCGCTGGACCTCTCCAGCCGCCGGGGCAGGCGTTCTGGAAGTTACTTCCGAGTCCATTTCACCATCCAGTTCTCCCAATCCGGTGCGAACCGGCAGAAACCCACCACTGATATATAGAGAGTAGAGAGTAGAGAAGTAACCAACAGTAGGCGGAGCTAAATAATTCCTATGGGAGGAGCCTAAACTAATCAGTTTTAGTTGTGTCATGCTCAGTGATAATATTCCTAAGGTATGTCACACGTCAAAGTTGACACACCGCAGGGTTTTGGGTGACACGCCAACGTTCAACAACTATTTTTCAAAAGCCCACCTTCTTTTCTGTGGTTTTCAGAGAGTGGGGATGTGGTCTTGCACATTCTCCGAGCCCAGTTGAAGTCATGTGAGGGAGCCATATTTTTGCACACTCCTCTGCTTCACGAACAAAGGCCTTGTGCAACCTGAACAGTTTTGGACAGCTCACAGAGGCTAGTCAACAGGAAAAGAGCACTGCCTGAAGATAAGTGGTGCATGGCAGGTCCTGGTCCCCATTGGGCCAGGGGGGCAATGGTGGCCTTCCCCAAAGCTCATACATGTTGGGGAATGGCATGTGGCCTTTTCTGAGTGGCAGTGGGCAGAAGTCAGTACCTTTTTTTGATGCATAACACATTTATTTTCCCCAGCTGCTGCCAGCTGGATTTGCCCCGTGATAGGCAATGCATTTCCTTTTGGTGTGTCCTAGTAGATGATAAATTTCTTAGAAAAACAACGCCAACAATGCCTTGGAAATTTTGGCAAAAGCCAGCGGATATTAGAATATGCGATGACAAATGTTTTATATTCTAAATAAAGCACCCTGTGAATTGGCAGAAGCCAGCCTCTGAAATTTAAATGGCAGTGAGATAATCAAGACCTTTGGAACAGAGTTAGCACACAAAGAATCAAAGGCAATCAAAAGATTGGTTCATAATTAAAATCTGCATAACTACTTCAAGGGGGAACATTTTGTGAGCAGATTTTGTGCTCTCTTTCATATAGAGAAACTGGCTTTTCCTAAACTCTGATTTGACTTCTGGATAAGCCCCAATTGGCTTAAACAACACATTAAACTACAAATCATGGTTTGTTTACAAACCCACAACTAAGCCAAACCCAAACAGACAACACTACTATTTAGCACAACGTAAGAGCCTGTAATGAGTCTCATCAGGCCTACTTCAAATATTTTCTGTCCTCATCAAGGCAAAGTTCCAGAAGAAGCAATGTTGGAAGTATGAACCAGAGATTTTCCATGACCCAGAGGCATCTGGATATTGCTGTTGAAGTAATAATGTGAGTTTTAAATTTCCCTCTGCCACAGGTGCTCCAATTTACACCCCCAGATGAAGCATGAACCAGTCTCAACCCTGTACTATTGTAGGAAGTTATCACCCAGCCCTCTCCCAGAAAAATGAAATATCCTCGGAAATATTGAAAAGGCAGAATATTTCTCTGGATGTGAAAAGNCAGTGGTGGGTTTCAAAAAAATTCTGCAACCTCTTCTGTAGGTGTGGCCTGCTTTCCGGGTCCACTGGTGGAACCGCTTCTAACCAGTTCGGTAGATTTGACGAACCGGTTCTACCGAATAGGTGCGAACTGGTAGGAACCCACCTCTGACGCGGCTTAAAAAACAAGGCTACATAGGACATTTTGGAGCCAGTTAGATGCTCCCGGTTTGGGCAAACTGATCCAAACCGGCTGAATACCACTTCGGCAAGAGAGCAATCTGTGGCCCAAAGTACATCAATCCCTTCTTTTCTTGCTGAAGCATGGGGAACCATGAATGGGAGGCAGGAGTTTGCTTTAGTTTATTTGGTTCGGCGAGCGAGAAGGTGATACAAATGTTTAGGAAAAGGCCTGATGCTGTGTGGGAGAATCCTAAAAGAACTGAAAATACAGGCAAAGGGGCGAAATCTGTGCTCTGATTGCACAGCCTGTGTGCCATGTGGCATTTGAAGAACTGATTCGCGGAATCAATGGCACGGTTGTTAAATCTGCCAGGAGGAGAAGTGGGCAAGACGAGAGCAAAGGAAAGTGCAACCGATGTTGTTCCCTCCATCTGTGCGAAACCCACAGGTAACAACGTGAACATTAGCAGAAGCCTCCATTCCAAGTGAAGGCAGCAGCAGGCAAAGGTGAGCTCCCCACCTCCCCAGTCCCAAGTGGAAGGTTGCTTTCCAGCTCAGCTTTTCCCGAAAACCACATCAAAGACAAGGAGCTGCAAGGAGTGGGGAGGGATGGAAAGCTGCAGTGCTGCCATAGCAACAGTTGAAAGGAAGGAGGGAGGCCCAGCCTCTGAGCATGAAGTCAGCACTAATATTAATCGCTGACTCCACAGTGTGAGTGCTATGCAGGAAAAAGGAGGGCAGCCGGGCTTGGGGGAATGGAGAAGTCACCGCATGCTTTAAGTCCAGTGGCATGAAAGGAATGAGGTTATTTCTCTCCCCCAAACACCACCCAAAAAAAGAATAGGAAGGCAAAGATAATAGTAAATTGGGCCGGTGCTTTAGGCTCCTGCTCATCTCCTTTCTCTCTGCC